AAAGTAATAGCAGACCAGCAAACGAAACCACACACTTTGAGGTATCATTCGTGTCTAAAGGTACGAATCCACTTAAGTGTAATACATCAATTTGGTCACATTTTATTTTAAGGTCCATTATTAACTAACAATTAACTATGACTTTTGCCTCAATAAACTCCTAATTTGCTGCTTTTTAATAGTTAGTAATGTATGTATGTTATGTTCAGTATGTTAGGTATGTCGGTGCCGATAGCCTAGTCTAGTGGTTAGTGAGTCGGCATATAGCACAACTGTGCTCATGGCGACACAAGTTCGCTTTCCATCTCTAGGTCCTTTGCCAATCCCGCCCAATGCTCACTATTAACTAGGTGCTTATTTGCATAATAACATATTGGCTGTTTATTAGTACTTATAAAGCACATATTCTGCATGACCATATTCTACATCCCTAATCCTACCCATTACCTAAACTTAACAACTACCTTACTAACTAACTATTAATAAGCAGCAAATTAGGAGTTTATTGAGGCAAAAGTCATAGTTAATTGTTAGTTAATAATGGACCTTAAAATAAAATGTGACCAAACTCACAGTAAGACTCAATTAAAGCAAAGATCCAGCCAGACAAGGTTGCAAACACTGAGTCTTACCAGGTATGAGACACAGCCACAGTGAAGCGTCTGCGTTGGCGGACTGTTTTATTCACCACCAGCTTTCTGAACATGCCTGGGCAGGTTTGGGGCGCGTTTCTTGCACCAGCTGTGAGTTCTTTCACATCAGACTGACAGCCCGTGTCCAAACCGATCTCCATCCTCTGACTGACAGGGCAAATGTCAGCATCTTGTTTTAAATCCATGAGGAAGTGTCATATGCAGAGGTTTGTTAAAGCCTTGAATCCCGCGGTTTGGCTGTAGAAGTGTGAGTTGAGGTGCTGTGTAGGCCGGACTCTGTTTCACACTCATTCTCTGTCACTATCTGCTTCAGTCCTGCCCTTTCCCCTCTATCCTCCCCTCTTGCCTACTTGTCAGGCCTCTGCCCGGCACACCCTCCCCTCCCAAGAGTCGCCTTGCTGGAATGTTCTTGGAGTTTCTACTTGGCCCAGTTTAGATGGAGTCTGAACCTGATACAGATAGACAGGTGCGGATGGAGAGGCAGTGTTAAGAGATACACTTGGTATAAACAGCAGTGTGTCTTGACAGACAACGTCTGATCTATTCAACCAAATCAGGTGTAAATGGGAACAACGTGAACTGGACACATTTATATACACCGATGAGCCATTACATTATGACCACTTATCTAATAACCTGTAGGACCTCCTTTAGCCCACAAAACAGTGGCCACACGGTGAGGCATTTATTTGATGAGGTGCCGATAGTCTCCTGCGGTATCTGGTACCATAATGTCAACAGCAGGTCCTCCAGTTCCCATACATTGCAGGGTGGTGGTGATGTAATGCAAACACACTTTTCCAGTGCGTTCATCTCAGGTGAATTTGGAGGCCAAGACATTAACAGAAATTCACCATCATCTTACTTAAACCACTCCTTGATGATTTCAGCAGTGTGGCATGGCACATTATCTTGCTGGTAACGGCCATCACTGGCAGGGAACACAGCTGCTATGAATAGGTGCTCTTGGTCTGCAGTGATGTTCAGATACCTGACAGCCGTCAGGGGTTGTGCTATTGGGATAATGGGGTCTAAAGTGTTCCAAGAAAACATCACCCACAGCATAACACCGCCGCTGCCCAACAGTGCATCCAGGTGCCATAGCCTCTGTTGGTAATCGGCAGGTGTGCCTCACACGTCCTGAAAAGTAAAGCTGCGGGCTCTTTGATCGCCCCCTGGTGGCTGGCTGCAGTACAGGTCAAAAACCCCACTCTCTATGTAAACGAATGGGCCTTGAGTCAAAATAAAAAAATAAATTACGCTTCCAATACAATTTTCCAAAAGATGGTTTTGGTCATTTAAGGTAGTTGTTATCATGCTGATATATGTTCAATTGTTCGTTTTTGTGATAAGTTTGATTTTAGATAGTAATTTGATGCTATATAAACGGGGCGTGTCGTTATGGTTGATTGGGTCTGCGGGAGTTTGATACCGCGGCTCCACCTCACGACAATACGGCACAGACTCGGGCTCCAAATGACATAATTTACTCAAGATGGCAGCGGCCATACTGAGATGCTTTGGCTTCACTTTTCTACAGTGGAAGGAATAGGAGACGCGTCGTCCATCTTTTTTTACAGTCTATGTTAATCGACATATCCATACTCAGCAGTCAACATGATGCACCAGGAATCTTGAATCATCAGACCAGGCCACTTTTTCTTCCAATCATCCACAGTCCAGTCTCAATAATCTTCAGCTCATTTCATGCGCTGTTGGTGATTCAATGCACTGTGAACAATGTGTGACAGTCTCTGCTCCCCTCTGGCATCAATGAGCTGCGGACGACACACGGCTGGATGATGGCTCATCATTTTGGCCATCCGTGCACCCCTTTTGTACGGTGGCCCAGTAGTGTTGTGCACAACAAAATTAAAAAACAAATAAACATAAGCTCACAACACAACGAAATAAAAAAACAAACAAACATAAGCTCACAACACAACGAAATAAAAAAACAAACAAACATAAGCTCACAACACAACGAAATTAAAAAAGCAAACATAAGCTCACAACACAATGAAATAAAAAAAACTAAAAACAAACATAAGCTCACAACACAACGAAATAAAAAAACAAACAAACATAAGCTCACAACACAACGAAATTAAAAAACAAACAAACATAAGCTCACAACACAACGAAATAAAAAAAGCAAACATAAGCTCACAGCAAAATAAAAAAGTAAACATAAGCTCACAACACAATGAAATAAAAAAAAGCAAACATAAGCTCACAACACAACGAAATTAAGCCACAACACAACGGAAATGCTCCCGACCCCTAGGGGGCAGTTGGTCTACAGAAAAGGCAATTGTGCGCAAGAGCAGAGCTAAACTGTCCAAATCGAAAATAATATTGATTTATTTTCTGCTCAATTCATGAATCGATACATTAAGATTACCAGGATATCAAAACATTCAGTAAAAACATGTTGTTCATTTAAAAATCGATTACACACATTAAGATCAATCACTTATATTGAGAATTTCTTGAGGAAATATCATTGTTTAATTGTCAACACTGCTCCCTAGCGGTCAGGAGCATTTCCGTTGTGTTGTGAGCTTATGTTTGCTTTTTAATTTTGTTGTGTTGTGAGCTTATGTTTGTTTTTTGTTTTTTGATTTTGATTTGTTGTGAGCTTATGTTTGCTTTTTTAATTGCGTTGTGTTGTGAGCTTATGTTTCCTTTTTTAATTTTGTTGTGTTGTGCACTACTGGGCCACCGTACTTTTGATACGTACTCACTACAGCGGCGATGTTTCAGAGACTCCAGTTCTGAGGCACCGTGCCATCACAATTTGTCCTTTATAAATCAGCAGCTTTTCCTATTCTGACCTTGAACGCTCCACTGACCGAAAGCTGGTCCTCGAGTGGTATATATACCGCTCTGTGAACTGCACCTGCGGCACCATTCAGTTGCCAGATGTGCTCATTGTTTTTTTACCCCACTGACAGATATTTGTAGCAAGAAGATTTCATATTTTTCAGTTGCGTCTCTAGCAAATGTATCTTGATTCAAGGATGTTTAAATATTTGTATTGGAAAACAAAAAAATTACTGAGGAAAATATTCAGTTTTTGCAGTGCATGCAACATTTAATGCAATGACTTTATGATATGAACTTGCGACCTTCTTCCGATTTAAGGCCTTTTAAGTCCTTAATTTATAGAAGGAATAATTAAGACTTTTTAAGACCTGCAAAACCCCCAAAATAATGTGTAACCCACAAAAATGAAATCTGTCATTCAAAACACATTTTATTTACATGAGAAAATTAATCGATTTACTGTAAATTGATTATGAATAGATGTTCCTATGCTCAAAACAAGCATACATTTTCAGTGTTACTATGAACCTCTTATGGCCAGATTTATTAACAGATTGAGCATGCGCAAACCGCCTTTTGGCGTTAAAATAGTACGGTCAGGATTTACTAAAGATGCGCAGTGAAGAATTAGCACTGAAAAGGCGTGGACACAATTGTTTTTGCACCTGACATTATTGAATATGCATTTGTAGGAGTTTCCCTTTGAGACGTAAAATTTATGGGAGGAGACATTAAAATATATCACGCAACGCAATTTACTAACATTTGCGCTCATCAAATCACTGGTATTTGCGCCATTATTTAATGCCCAAAAACATTTCTTAAACTATTTCGCACTTGAAATGGCTGCAATTGTTGCTAGGAAGAGGCACCGCAGAGAACAAAGAGCACATGGTAGAAGGGATTTTTTCCACACATATTAATTTATTTGGAATGCCAGAAGAACACATGAAATCCAAACATATCCTTATGCTAATTTGCGCTGCGCTTGGTAGATTGCGTTGGTCATTATGGAAATGAGATGTTGTGTCTGTGTACTTTTGCGTGTTGTCAGTAAATCACCCGCAGAAATTTCCATGCCCATCGGGATTGTTTTGGAATTGCACTCTTGCGCTAATTTGCCCTGTTTAGTAAAACTGACCTTTAGTCGGTTAGCGCAGTGTCATTCGAAATTGAGATCAAAATTCTATAAAAAATAACTATTTGGCATTCGACATCATTATAGGTTCCAAAAAGTGAATAATCTATTCTGTATCTAAGACTCAGGAAGTGATATTTTGGGTTCTCTTTCAGTTGGTCACTCTCGACGTCACTGAGATCCCAATTCGTCGGTCATTACCGACGTGACGTCTCCGTTCCCTCCTTCAGGGAACAAGGGTTACATACGAAGCCGAGATGATTTCATTGGTCAAACAAATTATAAAGCACTTAAAAGTTGAACCTTGAATCATCTTTGAACGTTTATGTGCTGACACAGTATTCTGGTGTTGTGTTTGTTAGATTTAACACTGAACTCACCTATCAGGTGGCACTGGTGTGATATCTATACGCGGTGGAGTAATGAAGCCCAGTGACGTGGGTCTGGAAACGTGATCTTCTTGAGGACTGCGGGCCCTCTCTGCCTGTCTCCATGACAATGGCGGCAACACAAGGGTTCCTGAGAGGCGTCTGGGGCCTCGCCAGAGATCCACACCCAACGTAGCTCCTGAAGACGTACATGCTGAGAGGTCCTTGCTTTCCTAACATCATAAAAACAGAGCAGAAATGTTGTAGCTGTCCACTATACAGCATCGCCTGCATACAGTATGATCACGCACAATCAATGAACTCATCAGGAAATGAATACATAAATAAACAAATGAAATAATGTATGCAATAATTATGCAGTGTGTTCACGCATACACAGTCAATATGAAATCAAAATTGACCCTTTTCATAATAAATCCAGGTTCCAGGTCTTAATTTTAAATTATTTATTAGGGTTTGTCATACCAAAGAACAAAATATTTCATCAAATTTTAATAACGTGCTTGGCTTCTGAATGATCAACTACCCTTCCCCTAATACATATACGATCCAATTAATTCCTGATGGATAAAATTAAGTCCCATTTTACATTATTTCCTCTTGTTGAATATCCAGTTTCACACAAAATAGAACAGATAAACCCAAGAAGTCTCTTAAGTTCACCAAAGCTGCATCTATTTGAACAAAAACACAGTAAAAACAGTAATATTGTGAAATATTACTATTCCTGTGATGCAAAGCTGAATTTTCAGCATCATTACTCCAGTCTTCAGTGTCACATGATCCTTCAAAAATCATTCTAATATGCTGATTTGCTACTCGGTTATTATCAGTTATTATTGGTGCTCAAATATTAATAATAGTTCTTATTATTATCATGATGAAAACAGATTTTGCTACTTAATATTTTGTGAAAACTGACTCTTTGATGAATACAAAGTTGAAAACAACAGTATTTATTTGAAATAGAAAACTTTTGAATGCCTTTACTGTCACTTTTGATCAATTTAATGTATCCGTGTCAAATATTATTTAAAAAAAATCGTACGTACCCCAAACTTTTGAATGGTAGCGTTAAATATTAGATATCAGCATATTAGAATGATTTCTGAAGGATCATATGACACTGAAGACTGGAGTAATGATGAATTTGTTATGAAGAAGCAGGAAATTGTTGAATCGTGCATCATTTGTTTCATCATTTTCATGAAAAAGAAAATTTTGCACTCTCTTCGAAATTTGTTTATTACACATAAAAATACAAACACACAAGTGTGGGAAACTGTACTGGACTTTGTCAATCAGCTCAGCCCATAAACTGTTTGTTCAGGTTGATGTCAGTGAAGCTTTGGGTGATATATGGCACTCTAGGCCAGGGAGTGAGCCTCTCATTTACGCCACGTGACTGATGTAGAGCCCTGTTCAGTTTCTACTGCTCCAGCATGCTGACTCTATCTCCTGACAGTTCTTTATAGATACAGAGTGTTTAACGGCTTTATTGCAGCGTGATTGCATATCACTGTCAGTGGAGACGCTGGACAACATCCTTTCTTAACAGCCTATAGCAGAAGACTGAATATATCACCTTGTAATATGTTTATAGCTCAATCAGAATTGCCCAGAAGAGAGGAGTGTTACCAGGAATTCCTCGAGCACGGCCTGTAGATTGGGATAGCTAACTGATGAGAATCCAGATATTGAGTAGGGAGAGAGAAAACAGCTACTGCTTCTGTATGACTGGTCAGCGTGAGTTTAGGATTGACTATAATTCTGGGAAATGTATTGACACTTTGATGGAGGGCTGTATCAGAAAGCAACGGCAGTAATTGGGTGAATCTCATGAAACCAGTCTAGAACAAGTCTGGGTCATATTTCATCCCAAAGCCAGAGGAAACAAATAAAAACATTTGATTTTACAAGAAGAAAACTCTATTACAGGACCATTAAAGGGTTAGTTCACCCAAAAATGAAAATTAGCCCATAAATTACTCACCCTCAAGTCATCCTAGCTGTATATGACTTTCTTCTTTCAGACGAATCCAGTCGGAGTTATATTAAAAATGGTCTTTGATCTTCCAAGCTGTTTCATGGCACTCAGCGGGTGTTGCATCAGTCCAAAAGAAGTTACATAAAAAGCGCCCATCCATAAAAAAAAAGTGTCTCACACAGCTCCGGGAGATAAACAAAAGCCTCCTGTAGCAAATCGATGCATTTTTGTAAGAAAAATATCCATATTTAAAACTTAATAATCACTTTAATGTAGCTTGCACCAACAGTTGTACACATAAGCAGTTCCGGGTGCATGACGTAAGACGTCAGCATTGCGCACGCGCCGCTCAGAAGTGATGAACGTGGAAGCGCAGGGGAGAGATCAAAACAAAACAACGGTAGAAGTACAAAACGAGGATTTGTAAAGAAGAATGTCAGAGGATTTCGATATAAGCCAAGAGGAGACTGGTTTTCCTTTGATAAAGTAAGGAAACTTTGCTTCCTTTGCTCCTGTAAACAAACGTTGGTTTTCACGAGACTCACCGGCGTATGCGCAACGCTGACCTCATACGTCATGCTCCCGGATCTGCTGCTGTGTACAACTGCTGGCGCAAGCTACATTAAAGTGATTATTACATTTTGAATATGGATATTTTTCTTACAAAAACGCATCGATTCGCTACAGGAGGCCTTTGTTCACCACCCCGGAGCCGTGTGAGACACTTTTTTTTTATGGATGGGCGCTTTTTATTTAAGTTCTTTTGGAATGATGCATGCAACACCCGCTGAGTGGCATTAAACAGCTTGAAAGATCAAAGACAATTTTTTATATAACTCCGACTGGATTCGTCTGAAAGAAGAAAGTCATATACACCTAGGATGACTTGAGGGTGAGTAATTTATGGCCTAATTTTCATTTTTGGTTGAACTAACTAACCCTTTAAGGGACGTTTTCATTCAAAATTCTCATTACTGTAATGCGTCTGGATTTTTAACATGTTTTAGTTTACAGTATTTTTTTATTTAATGGTCAGTAACTAAAATGTTTTTATTTTATTATACATATTATGTATTATTTAAATTCGAAAGTATTTATACATAATGGTAATATTTATTGTACTAGAATTTTATTATACAAATTATTATACCCATTTAAGGTAAAAACGGTACACTCAAACTCAGGCTCCACTCCTGGCTAAGAAAGTCTCAGTAAGTAATCAGACGCACTTGTTCTGGAGAAGGATTTCAATGAAGAGGGTTACAGAGGGCTGCTGCCACAGACTGAGCAGGGATTCAGAGGTGGATGTTAATCATAGGCAGGAGAGGTGAGTGTTGAGCGTTCATTGAGTGCTAGTGAAGAAAGGTGAGAGCTTATTGACAGACAATCAATATCAGCCTCATTATTTCACTTCATTGTGCATGTGTACTTGCAAATAGACTATTGAAGAAGTGAAGGTACTGTTCTTCTAAGTACAGGAACCTAATCCAGAACTTTGAGGGTGTTTTATGACTTTGCCAACTCAATCAAACAATGTCTCAGACCAGACTTTTATTACTTTTCAAAGACAAAAAACACAAAAAAACGTTTACACAAACACTTTCACTGCTGCTTCCGCCCAACTAAAGCACCACCAATCATTATTCAGACAAACTGCTCGTTCCGTGTCAAAATCATGCCTTTGGTTGAGACAGAAGATTCAGGTTGTTTAAACAAACAGAGCAATGTCTTGAAAGTGTCACTAAGCGACAGTGTTTTCACTCTTCTGAGAAATCAATATACAGCTGTCTCAATAAATTCAACACAAAATGAAAACTGAAAAAATGAAAAACATTTTGTATAGATCTTTTCATAATACACATTGCTTCAAAGCAGCTTTAAAGAAAATCATGATGTTAATGATTATAATATCTTCATACCATCTAGTCGCATTTAGAGCCAGACAATAATATGATTTAAATTTTGCGACAATACAAGCAGTCAATCAGTTGAGATTTGCTATATTGTGTATACAGTCTTTTACCGTTAAATTCACAGTCATTTTTTACAGTGTATATATATATATATATATATATAGTGGCATCACATTACATGAGTGTTCTATATTGATCTGGATAAAGTTGAATATCATTTTTATTCCATTTTAAATATACAAGTTGCTCAATAATACAGTTTACCTTTAGTGATGATATAAACAATCATGCAGCCAAGATTGGCTATATAGCATATAAGAAATATAAGAAAGCTGCGCTTTCTATGAGTACACGTATGTATGGTAGGATGTACATTCTCTCTCTCTCTTACTTTTAATATATCACTGGACGATCATATATTTTACAGTTTTTGACAATATAACTATCAAGCAGTGTTCTCTATCAAGAGATTTGCTTTATAGTACATACTGCTTAAAATGAATGTACTGAATGCATCTGGTTAAGGGTGGATATACTTCTAGTAGTTCTATAACTGTTTCTGATAATTAATTTGTTAATTAGTTTAAGTTATTAATTTGATATTTGGTGATACTGAGAATAGACCTTAGTCATGGTAGTGCCATATTTCATTTCTGACCAGAATGAAAACAAGGCTGTGAGGGACAGAAATACAGTGTGTTGAATGGATTTTACTCAGGGCTGGACTGGGACGAAAAAAAAAGAAAAATCGGCCCTGGTATTTTTTTCATTCAAACAGCCCATCACTACGATCAGAATATGTCCAGTCAGACAGCACCCATATATATATATATACACACTGCCATTCAAAATACACACACACACATAACATAACATAGAGAATACCAGGTACATAATAACATTGTGTTTGTTTATATGAGTGTATATATACTGTGTATACACGTTTAAGTGGACCAGTGTACTCACTCGCTCTTGACTTATAACTGTTTGAGGAAACTAACCAGTAATTTCCCAGGGAACACACATACTGGTAAAAAAAAATTTATAGCCTGAATGCACTGTAAGTCGCTTTGGATAAAAGCATCTGCTAAATGCATACATTTATTTTATTTATTTATTTATAAAAAATTTAGTTAAGGTTATCTACAAAAACTAGACATGCACCAATCATGATTTTTCATATTTTTCATGGATGATTCCAATTGTCAGCAAGTGGGCTGATTCTAAAACCAACTGCTGATTTTTTTTTAAAGCTGCAGTCCGTAAGTTTTGCCTCTTTGTTTTTTTGCATTAAACTATTTTCAATGACATTGGTTTATCTTAGCTAGCCAGGCTAGTCAACCTTACCTCAAATTTAAGCAGCTAGTCAATTGTAGTTAGTTAGCTAGATAACTTAGGTAGTTTATCTTACCTAACGTTATTACAGGTATGGAGGAAAACATGTTTTTTTGCTCTGTGTTAAATGTGTCGTATGCGGTTTTGAAAATATGTTTAAAGGTGTCTGTTTAGTCGAAAAGTCTATAGGGCATTGGCCACTTTAAATTTCTTTAAATTGAATCATTCACTTTACCAATTTGTTAAAAATGGTTGAATCAATGTAACATTTTTGATTGTGCTGATATTTAGGAAAAACAGCACTTGTGTGATATTGCTTAACTATATTATATGTTGTAAATATAAAGAACAAAAACTAAATTTCAATTTTGGAACCCTTTTTACTAATTTTAGTGGCATTTGTACCCCAAGCCCCCATTAATTTCCAATTTCCACAGTGGACTATATGACCCAACAGTCAGTTGGGTTGCATTTGGAACATTTCTTGCTTTTTAATTATTTTTTTATTGTATAATATGCAGTATAATTACTGTATAGTGCCTTACAATATATTCAAAGACTTGCTGGCTTGAAAAAAATCCAACAACAAATAGACTAATATCGCTGAGAAAAATTGTTACATTAAGATTTTAGGGTTAACTGCCATCATTGCATATACAGTTTGTTAATAATGTCAGCCTATTCTTTGTAATAGATTTTTTCAAGCTTGTTAAAGTTGGTCAGATGATGACAGTGAATCAAACAGTGCCATAACAATGTCTCATTGGCACTGAGATCAGAAGTCTGACTGGATCGCTGTATGGCTTTGTGTTCCTGAGCCACAGCAGATGGCTCTGCCTTACAGATCTCTGTCCAGCTGAAACACTCAACGTTCTCCAAACATTGGTTTTTAACCAACTAAGGCATGGAAGTACTATACTGTATGTTTCCCTGCATGCTTCTAAAAACATTATTTTTGGTCCATCCATAAATCATTTTTAAAAGATGTCTTGTTTGGTTTTAGCTTATTGTAAGGATGGTGTTTCATATGGTAAGATGTTTGCAAATGCAAAAACAATTTTGTAAATGTATAAACACAACAGAAGTGTACGTAATGACGCAGTGCCATGCTCGAATTTCCAGCGAAAACCTAACAGTACCACTCAAATTAGTAAACGTTATTATAAGCTAACCGTTGTGTATCTCGCTAAAGTAAGGCGATAGTTTTGAACACTGGCTGGTTATGTACTTGCTTAAATATTGATTTCGGATCATTTTTAACCAAAAGAAGTTACGGACTGCAGCTTTAAGCAAGAGACAAGAAAGAATGAAAGAGTACATGAACAAAATTTAGCTTTGTGAAATTATGCTAAAACTGCAAACTAACTCTCTGCCAGTAGGTGGAGCTTTTGGAACAGCTGCAATATAGGTTTTTGTCGATGGTGCATTGCGATTGAGTTAATGCTGTCAATACAGAAGACAAACCAATGTGCCACTGTCTCTGCATGATGGGCCAAAGTATCATCATCTTTTTTCATCATCTGTATCACTGACACAACAATCCAACATCACAAAGCACTATAACTTTTTAAGCTTTACACTACAACCACCTGTCATAGAGTCAATTTGAATAATCCAATCACTTTCCAATGGACAAAATCAAGTTCACCTCAGTTTTTGGAAGTAAAATGGGTAAATGGGTAGAAACATTTCTTTGTTTCTATGCTGACTTACCCTAATCCTAACTAAGAATAAATATTAAGGGGGAAAAATTGTCACACTTCACCTTTAAACGGAAGAGTTTAATTAATATTATGTAAATTAGAATTCAAAGACCGTAAAATGTTAAGTCTAATTTGGTTACAACCAACCGAGTTCAGGTAATTAAAAACATCAAGAAGACAAATGAATGACTGGCCTTTTTTTCAACGACTGTCCTTCTTTCCTCTGTCGAGGTTTTATGGTGCCTGCCATCTTTTCTCACGCCCCTCATAAATAGCTATTAATATTATGTATGTGCATATGTGGGTTTTTGTGTGTGGTTAATTGGTTGTTTATGTTCTTGTACACACACTAGCCTAGAGCTTGGTGATTGTTTTATTTTTCTTTCTCTAGAAATCGAAGAACATAATATTTCAGAGAAAACCTGGCTGCTTCATAGGTGTGAAACATATAAAGGGCAAACTAGGAGAAAAACAAGAAGCGATTTTTTAAACATCTAAATGGCATGGACCTCTGTGTATTGGGGGCAGAATAAAAAAAAATCACTGCATAGCATTATCTTCTATTCATGTTGAAACACAACAGTAAAATGTCTCACATCACTAGGTGTCACTGCCAAGACGCTCCGGCTCTTCCTCATGATCTCTGCTGACAGCTCAAGCTCAGAAGGTTCTTCTGTCTCTCGGGATTCTTCACCGGCATACAAATGAACTTCAGCTGTCAACTGTAGCCAGAGGAAAAAAAATCCATTAGCATACGTTTTCATCAAACCCTCCACCGGGCCAGTTTACTAATTAAAAATCACAATTGTCTCAGTTTTGATGTTAATTTCTTGTGTTCAGTAACATTAGAATGAAGACAGTAAACCAACGAAACATCAAATTATAAACAATTGGTTATACTATATTAGCTCTATAATGTCATACTGCGTTTCATATTGACTTTTCATTCAAAAATGTGAAAATTCAGAGTTTCATTGAATATTGCAAGTTTGTTTAGATTAAAAGATAAATAAATAAATATCAAATTTTTGGAAACAGCAGATACAGCAACTTTATAGTGTAAAATGTATAGATTAATGATGATTAACCCTTTCCCCGTCAATGACAGAATTTTCCGGCTTTACGTGTTTTCATTGTTATACAGTAGGGGGCACTATTACACATCTTCTGAAAGAGTACTGAATCTCTGAAACAAAACATGTTGAAGAAGAAGCAACATATGTAAGCAGATACATACGTAAAAAAATGCAGTCATCGAACATTAAACAGCATAAATCAACACTGCCTAACGCTATCAAGTGAAATTTTGACGCAGGAAGTGGTATAGGATGTGCAAGCTTCGGGGGTTTGATGGAAGCGATCTATTTCATCTCAATTTTCATCATCGCTCTGAATCCGGACACTAGTGGGTAATAGGGGTTGAACGACTTCTGATTTTTTGAAGTCGACTTTTATGTGATGAAGTTGACTAGTCACTGATGACGTCATTAATGAACAAATAAGTCTGGAGCTGAGACTCGAACACCTTGTGCACAGCTATGGCATATGACACAGCGCTGCCCACATGGCTGTTGCTCCTATAACAGCTCATCTTTATCAGTTCTTTTGTCTTTATGTCATTATATTTCTCAGATTTCTGCTCGTTCTAAATCAGATACAGATAAAGTAGCACAGTAAAGATTACATTCATATGAATGCATTAGTGAGAGCGATTGCGTGTGTGAATTAATTCTACCTGGCTAGAATTATCTATCTCTCTACTAGAAGTGAAGCTGTGGGATTTGGTTATTAAGAAATATATACTTGAACTTTTCAGTTTCTAAGCTATTTTATTATCACAGAATAGTGTTGACAATACATTTCTGCGCTGAATGATTCTGTGCGCGTGATGTATGAGCTACTGTCTGTAATGTGTGTGCGTTACAGTGCAGCAGCACATTAGATTAGAACGGCGATTAACTTACCTGTACAATAAGCTGTTTAAAACGTGCATTCTCCTGTCTTGTGGAGCGCTTTCAGAGTATGCATTTATTTGTAATTTTAACTGTTTGGAAACGGAGCGTAAATGTGGAAGTCCTTCAAAGATTTCTTATCCTGTTGCACCCTCTATAGGACCAGCGACTAGTCGACGTCAAGCTTAAAGTGTCATGGCAGAGCATTGAAGTCGACTAGTCGATTAGTCGGTGCAACCCCTAGTGGGTATTAAAAAATATTAACAGTTAGAGCCTGAGGCAATTTAATTCTCAATAATTCTTTATTAAAATGCATAGAGATGGTGTGGAATGGACATGGGAAACTAAATGGAAAACACACACATTTTGTGTTCAACATTTTGACATTGACACCAAACATCTTCTTGTTCATGTGTATGTGTGCACCCGAGATGCACCTGTCCTCATGTTTCAGTAAATTGCTTGTCAATCTTACATCGGTGGAAAGTTCGTTAGTGCTTGGCACAGTTTGAACCATGTCTATACTGTAAGTGAGCAGCTCGATTCAACACCTCAGGATAATAGCACCCATTATAATCAACAGAACAGAGTGTAGAATGCTTTGTTGATTACAAATGGGTATTTATTCTATTTTAAGTTCTTTACTGTTGCACAAATGCAAAAAGACCCACCTATGAATTTGTTTAAACTGTTTTTAAAAAAATCTCTGAGAAACGTGTAAACAACGTAACATTAATCAAATATGTAACTGTCATCTGACAATAAACATAAAATCACACATTGGGTAATTCTGTCACTAAGGGAAAAATAAATCGATTATTGTACCTGCCAAGTATGTTTTAAAATTAAATGACACATTTTAGAAATTACATTTCAAATGTCTTTTTTTTTTCAATGTGCAAATGTTTTGTAAACATTCTAAAACAAGAACAAAAATGTTCTGGGAAAAAAACAATGTTTCATGAATGATTTATTTTTACATTATGTAATGTTATTAAGGACCAGATAACTTTCAATGAACATTCTGTTAACCCTGGAAATGTGGCTATGTGTACAATACAACAAAGGACAGTTTATTTTTAACTAGCTAGTTCATTTAGTCACTTAATATTAAACTATTTTCAATGACATTGGTTTATCTTAGCTAGCCAGGCTAGTCTTACCTCAAATTTAAGCAGCTAGTCAATTGTAGTTAGTTAGCTAGATAACTTAGCTAGTTTATCTTACCTAACGTTATTACAGGTATGGAGGAAAACATGTTTTTTTGCTCTGTGTTAAATGTGTCGTATGCGGTTTTGAAAATATGTTTAAAGGTGTCTGTTTAGTCGAAAAGTCTATAGGGCATTGGTCACTTTAAATTTCTTTAAATTGAATCATTCACTTTACCAATTTGTTAAAAATGGTTGAATCAATGTAACATTTTTGATTGTGCTGATATTTAGGAAAAACAGCACTTGTGTGATATTGCTTAACTATATTATATGTTGTAAATATAAAGAACAAAAACTAAATTTCAATTTTGGAGCCCTTTTTTACTAATTTCAGTGGCATTTGTACCCCAAGCCCCCATTAATTTCCAATTTCCACAGTGGACTATATGACCCAACAGTCAGTTGGGTTGCATTTGGAACATTTCTTGCTTTTTAATTATTTTTTTATTGTATAATATGCAGTATAATTACTGTATAGTGCCTTACAATATATTCAAAGACTTGCTGACTTGAAAAAAATCCAACAACAAATAGACTAATATCGCTGAGAAAAATTGTTACGTTAAGATTTTAGGGTTAACTGCCATCATTGCATATACAGTTTGTTAATAATGTCAGCCTATTCTTTGTAATAGATTTTTTCAAGCTTGTTGAAGTTGGTCAGATGATGACAGTGAATCAAACAGTGCCATAACAATGTCTCATTGGCACTGAGATCAGAAGTCTGACTGGATCGCTGTATGGCTTTGTGTTCCTGAGCCACAGCAGATGGCTCTGTCCCCCGGCCTTACAGATCTCTGTCCAGCTGAAACACTCAACGTTCTCCAAACATCGGTTTTTAACCAACTAAGGCATGGAAATACTATACTGTATGTTTCCCTGCATGCTTCTAAAAACATTATTTTTGGTCCATCCATAAATCATTTTTAAAAGATGTCTTGTTTGGTTTTAGCTTATTGTAAGGATGGTGTTTCATATGGTAAGATGTTTGCAAATGCAAAAACAATTTTGTAAATGTATAAACACAACAGAAGTGTAATTTACCAGCCTAACACACGAATAAACACTGGAGCAAATATTTATAGCTTCTGCCAAGAGAATCTGAACACCATAGAGTTTGATTGGACGCAAAACATTTAACGCCAATAAAAAAAAAACGATAGGGAATGTTTTCTACTCCCTTTTAAAAGTTGATAAGTCTATTTACTTTGCTGTCTTAACTATACACAATTACTGGGTTAGTTGGATTTGATTATGTGGATTTGGCATAGCTTTTTCACTGCTGTTCGTCATGCTATCAGAAGTGAGCTGACTTATTTTTAGTCGCATCCCCACTGATTTATGATTACATGTAAAATAACAAGGAAAGATGATAGGTTTGAAGCTACTCATAAGGTAAGGCTTATTAAAGCAATAGCAATCACACATAAGCAAAAGCACAGCAACACACTCCTACAAGTATGTAAATAAACAAGAAGAAACTAAGGAGTGTCCCAAAGACTCTCTTGTGTGTTGTACTTTCTTGCCGTTGCTAGTTGAAAAGATGAGTTCAAGCCTCCATTACTCATTTGAAAGCGTCTAGTTAGAATTAGCAATGACACTTTGGGTCGTTTATCATGAGAAGTTATTGGAGTAAAAAAAAAAAGGCCGTACAATTGTGTGATACTGCTTCATTTCATTAATGGTTTTAAACAAATCAAGTGAATAATTCAATGACTCATTCACAAAGTCTTGATTCGTTCCTAAATGAATCAGCATTTTTCAACAAACCGGTTAAAGTAACGATTCAATGACTCACTCATAAAGAAAGTAAAATCCTAACCATGCAAAAAAATTTAAAAAGCCTGCATTAAAGAGAAACTAGGTGAATCACTACACTACAAACTTTGATTTAAAGCAAAAAAATAAAAAAATCAGACAAAAAGGTAAAGGCACAAGACTGTATTTAATGGCTTTAATGAGGGAAAGAACTTCATATTCAAACAAATTAGTACATATTCAACATATTCAAATTACAAAAGAAACATGTTGAATATATATAGAGATATTCTATGAAATATTTGTTATATAAAACTATTTAAATAGTTTCATAGTGTAGGGAGATTGACTCGATTACATCATTCACAGTGCTTCATGGGAGTGAGTCGGCACTAAAGATTTGCTTGTTGCATTTATCTGTTTTTCTGATCTGATTTATATGCAGACTCATGGGTAGTGTAGTTTTTCACCAAGGATTCCACTGTTAAACATTATTATTATAAAAAAAAAGAGGGCTAATGGCTTCAACAAAAGCACAGTAGGTCTGCCTTTTATGGTTTGTAAGTTATCATTAAAATTATTTCCTATATGGAAAAATGAATAGGATTTTTTTCAAAAAATCAGACAAAAAGGTAAAGGCACAAGACTGTATTTAATGGCTTTAATGAGGGAAAGAACTTCATATTCAAACAAATTAGTACATATTCAACATATTCAAATTACAAAAGAAACATGTTGAATATATATAGAGATATTCTATGAAATATTTGTTATATAAAACTATTTAAATAGTTTCATAGT